CTTTCTTTCCTTCCTTCTTTCTCTCTTAGCTCCCACTTATGAGTGAGCACATGCGGTATTTTTCCCCCTGTGCTTTGCTTATTTCACTCAATATAAGTTTCTCCAAGCTCACCCATGTTGTTGCAAATAGGAAAATTTCAATCTTCTTTATGGTAGAGTAGTATTCCATGGTGTACATATACACAATTTCCTTATCCAATCATCCATTGATGGACATTTATGTTGGTTCCATACTTGTTTGTTTTAGTTTATTTTCTCAAGAATAGTTTCAGTGCTTCACAATTATGATATTGGCTATTGTTCTGACATTAATATTCTTTAGAAATACTCACCAATGTTTAGTTTTTATTAGGAATGGGTGTTGAGTTTTACTAAGGACCTCTTTTGGCAATTATAAAGATGATCACAATTTTTCTTATTTGACTGATTTATGTGATGCAGCATACTAGTAGAAATGATGTTCTTAAATCATCATTAAAATTATGTCTGTACTTTTCCCATGCTTCTCTTGTTATATACTTTTGAATTCTATTAACCTGACATTTCAAATCAGCTTATCACATCAATATCCATGATTGAGATTGACAATTTCTGCATGCATGTTGGATGTTGGTATTGAGCTATGCTTATTCTCCTGTTCCAGAACAATATATGCAAAAATTACCTCCTTTTTAAAAGGAATGATTAATTATATTATACTTCCAGATATTGAGCTATCATGCAGACACTAAAATTATGTCGATGAAGAATTTGAACAACGTGAAAAATTCTTACTATAATATCCAAAATAACCAAGATATAAATTTGATTATGTAGTAAGATCTCAATTATGTAACAAAAAGATTAAAAACAGACAAAATTGCAATTTTTTTAAGTACCCAACACTTTTCTTTTTCTTTTTTTCTTTCCTTTTTCTTAATTAATTAATAAACTTTTCATTGTATGTGTTTATGGGGTACAGTTTATTGTTTCAATACATGCATATATTGCTCAATGAGCCAATCAGAATAGTTAACATATCTATCTCCTAAACATTTGTCATTTCTTGTTGGTTATAACATTCAAGAACCTCTTTTCTGGCTATCTC